ACGCATCTTTTTACAAAGTTTTTTTTGGTTTTAATGTTAACATTTTCTACCAAAAAAGCCTGTTACTAGCTAATATAGTTCCTACCTAATTGCCTTACATAATTACCCAATACATTGAGAGGTACTATGCTGAGAAGAAAATGATAGAAGACGGTCTCGCATTTTTAGAAAGTTCTTTACGCATAAACCTAAGTTGGTAATACGTAATATTTTGTTTTTGTTAATATGTGCATATTTACTATATATATTTTGTTTTTGTTAACGACTGTTTACTATATTTGCTAATCTTCTAAAAATGGTAAAACTTGATTCAACGCTCATATCAACTTCTATTTTTGATTATGTTTTGACTAATGCGTTGTACGGTAATCACTCTATATATAAATACTCAATTGTCCCCTAATATTATTTTCTATCATAAACCTAAAAAGAACAAAAAAAAAACAGAGAAAGCAAGAATGGCTGCGAATCTAAGGAACAATGCGTTCTTGTCTTCTCTCATGTTTCTTCTCTTAATTGGTTCCTCGTACGCAATCACAAGTTCAGAGATGAGCACAATATGTGACAAAACTTTAAACCCATCTTTCTGTCTTAAATTCGTCAACTCGAAATATTCATCTCCTAATCTTCAAGCCTTGGCAAAAACCACACTTGATGCTACAATGTCAAGAGCAAAACAAACATTCAAAAGACTACAATCTATTATCGACGGAGGAGTCGACCCGCGATCCAAATTAGCTTACCGATCATGCGTAGATGAGTACGAAAGCGCGATTGGAAACCTCGAGGAAGCTTTCGAGCATTTGGCTTCGGGAGATGGTATGGGAATGAACATGAAGGTCTCTGCTGCATTGGATGGAGCTGATACATGTTTAGATGATGTGAAGAGATTGAGATCAGTAGATGCTTCGGTTGTGAATAACAGTAAAGGAATTAAGAATCTTTGTGGTATTGCTCTTGTTATCTCTAACATGTTACCACGTAGAGCTTAATTTTTGAATTCATCTTCATGTGTTTGCTCTAAACTCATTGTATTGTTTCTAAGAGGAAAATTACATTATTATACTTTTAATTATTGTTAAAAAAAAAATCTAAGTAAGAGGACAATCAACAAAACAAGATTTATATGCTTTTTTTTTTTTGCAAAAAACAAGATTTACATGCTATTTG